AGGAATATGCATCGCGCTGTATTAGCACGGTGGATTGCTTAACGAATTACTCTTACGTGAGCAGGCAGGCACGGGCTGCAGAAACCGTGCAGATAAAGCAGCACTTGTACTTTTTCATGGTCTGTCTTTGGAGTCGGAAGTTCTGGGGGTGGCGGGGGGGCAGTTGTGCCTTGGCTCCTTTTGGGTAGCGTGTGCTGTCTGGTGCTGAGGCAGAAACTTTCTTTGTGGGTTGTGAGAAGTGGTTGACTTTTATCCACGATTGCCCTTGGTTTCCTGGGCGTGTAGTGAAATCTGGGCTGTTCAGTGAAATTAGCTATTGACAAACAAGTGCTTGCGTTTCCAAATTATAGTTCCTACTCTACAGAAATATTGACATGTGGCAGGAGCTCAGCAGGCCCCCTGTTTCCTTAAAGAACCCTTCTGAAAGGAGAGTAAAACTCTTCCTGTAGCCATAAGAGAGATACTGAGGTTGTTTTTTTCTCCCCCCTGAAAACCGCCGTGCTCCTTTGTGAGCAGCCCTGACCTTGGCCTTCAAGCTGCGCTCCAGGGCTGGAATCTCTGCCCGACGTCACTGCTGCACCAGTTGTGTCTGCCCGCGCCGTGCTATCTCCCAGCTTTGGGTTTCTGAGCCGGTGTGACACTTGCCACATATTGGGCAAACTCTGGCCGCATCTCCTGGAGCCCTCGGCAAGGTGCTCACTGCTCGTTTTGGTCGCACCTCCGTGTCCCTGGGGCTCGGTGGGGCGGGTGCAGGGACCAACGGAGCAAAAACTTTCGCTCGGAGGGAAGCTTTTGAGCAGCCGGTGGTGAGCCTGCGGCCGAGCGCCCTCCCGGCCCTGGCGTGGGGGCAGAGGAGCTGCAAGTGCCCCCCGCGCAGGTGGGTGTTGGGGCTCTGCCCAGGGAGCTGCTGGTCCTCGCGCCCTGCAGCCCCCCTCAGCCCCCTTTTTGGGTCGCTGCAGTGTAACTGCCTACGTGTTTTGAGAACACCCTTAAAAGGTCTCTTGGAAACTGGAAAGTACATCGTGAAGGGTACCATTATCACAGCTCACTCTGAGCCGCCCATGTTTTAGATTGTTTTGCTTACAATTTTCCCTCTAAAAAAGAAAAGGGAAATTATTGGTGTCTTTTTAAAATCAAAGATGTTCCTGGGCAAATCCTTCCAGTGGGCAGCGGCTGCCAGTGGTAAAGGTGCTGGAGCACTCGGCCGAGCTGTTCCCCAAACACCCACCTCTGAGCCGACCCAGCGCGATGCTGGGGCCGAGCGCTGCCCCGTGCAAACGCTGGCGGCGGGACCGTTGCACCCGGGAGCAGCCTGTCTCCCGGCCAGGATTAACCTTGAGTGTCTGCCAGCTCCCGCTGGCTTCTGTTGTGAGTGGGCAGCCGGGGCGAGATGGGCCGAGCAGGGGCTCGCTGAGCCCCTTGACGGGGGGATGCGCGTGGGCACGAGATCCCCGCGGGCGTGGAGGTGTGTTTGCACTCCCGCAGCTCGTGCAGAAACAGCTGTTTAAAAAGCCACTCGAGTCTTAATTGTGAACCTGCCTCACAGCTTTAAATAATTAAAGCCTCGAAAATCCTCTGAGGTCGTCTGGGGGTCCTGCTTCAGTCACCACAGCAGCTGCTCCTGTGAGAGTCGCTTCTGCTCATTTCCGATCTGAAACACAGAGGGCAGAGAATAGGGAGAGCATGGTGTGGAAGGCCTTAAGGAAAAGAAAAATCAGCCTTTTCCAGATTTCTGATCACATAGAGAGGAGAAAAAATTAACGGGTCATTAGAGGAAAGCTCTGGTTCTGCTGGAATCTTAAAAACCTGCTGGATAAATAAGGCATTTTTAGCAAAGCTTTTCCATCTGCTGTTGGTTGTTTTCCTAGCAGTGTCTGCTCTGCAGCAGCCCCTCAGGGTGAGTGCCAAGGCTCTGTAGCATTGGGTGCCCGGGGGGGGACGTGGGGGACCCTGGGGATGGAACAGTGGGATTGCACCGGGAGGATGGGCGAGGTGCTGGGGAGGGCGAGACAGGGAGATGTTTATTGCATCAAGACTTGGCTATGGCAGATACGTTGCAGCCGACTCTTATCTCCTTCATTTAATCAGTAGTTCAAGAAAAGCCTTGGAAATAGTGATTGTCAGGGAGGGATAGTGGAGCACCATCTACAGATGAGTCACTGGTTCTGATTGCTGCTGCTAAAAAGAAATCACTCAAAATGTTTCTTGCCCGAAGAACGGGATAAAATTGCTGCTCCAGTTATTAACCTTCAATTTAGGTGGGATCTGCATAGCTCACGTATGAGGAATGGAAGAGAGCAGCGTTCTCCAAATACACAACTGCTCGGAGGAGAGAGGTGAGCCTGGGTTTTGATCTTGGCAGCAATTGTCCCATTTCATGCTTTATTCTCGAGGGGTGAGGGGCTTAGCCAAGACCGCCGAGCTTCAGCAGAGGCAGAGCCCTGAGCCGCGCGGGAGGCGAGCCACAGCGGTGCTCTGGTAACAGAGTTCGTCTTTGGTTGAAATGAAGCATCCCAGCTAGCTGTTCACCTGACAACAGCAACGGTCCCTACAGTCCTCTCTGCACTCAAAAGTGTTTTTCAGCCTGTGATATGGTTTAAATCAGTTCAGTATTGGTTCCTTATCTGTTCTTGAGGAAACACTTCTCATTTAAAACCTGTCTCTCTTCAGTTTAATTTATGTCTCTTGGGAAAGCGGAACAAAAGGGATTTGATAGTCTGGACTGAAGAAGATACTCATTACCCAAATGAAAATATCTGATCAAAAGCTGGTAACCAGGCAGCCGCCACTACGTGGGTGCATCGTTGTCCTTGCCACAGTTCTCCTTAAGAGTGATTGCTCTGCTCTAGGAGTGGTTTTAAGTCCTGATGTCCCTGGGGCTGCTCCTTGTGCAGTGCAGGTTGTACTCCCACCTTTTGGGAGTAGTGAGATGAGGAGGGGGAGAGGGGTGGGAGCGGTGGGGGGCTGCGTGGGGCCGCCTGCCCCGGTACCTGCCTCAGCCTCAGCCGGGGCAGCGCCGGGCAGAGCTTGGCAGAGGTGGAAACCCCCGTGGAAGGTTCGGTCAGACAACGCACATATCTTTCCTTCATTAACCCTCAGTGCTGCCAGCTGCCCTTTCGGGCCGTGGGATGTCCCCCTGCTTGCCCGGAGGGGCCGAGCTGCCTGCGGAGCCGTGGGCTGGGGACGGGTGCTGGCCACGGGCGGCAGTCGGGGCTGAGCAGCAGGACAGTGTTCCCTTGCCCCGGGGTCTGTGTTAGTGTGTGACCGCTTTTTCTAAAAGTTCCAAGGCTTTTCAGAAGGTTCGTGATATGGGTTCCAGCTGCCGTCTCTCCTAGGGCTGTTTTCTGTTTCAGTGGATTTGGGGTTTATTCACACTGTGGGCCCAAATGGGGCCTTTTCTGAGTATAAAGATTTTTTTTCCAAGAAATCCCGGTGTTGTCACATTTGCTCTTAATATAATTTGATTTCTAAGAGCTCGCCTGCAAGCATTCAAACCATACCACAACCCAGAGGCAGATCTAATTTTGACCGAAAAGTTGCGGTGTCCTACTGACTGTTAGAAGCTCATTGCCTCATTCAGCGTTTCGGCAAAAAGCAAGTTTTAACAAGTAAAATCCTATTGCTCCACGTCCTGCCTGGACACGCGCTGACTTGTGGCTCTGACAAGCACCTCTCCCGTGCCCTGCCTTCCGAGGGAGCAGCTTCTCCAGAGATCTGCGGCAGCGTGTGCCGGGAGGGGGGCGGCGGGACGGGACCGCCGGAGGGGAGAGTTTGGGTGTGGGGTGGAGGGGGGCAGGAGGACGGGGCTCAGGGCTGGCTCTGGGCATGGCCCTGCTCCTCTCCTTGTGCTTGGCACCTGCTCGGGTTGTGCCAGGGCCGTAGGAGGCCCTTTGGGCTTTCCCAGCACAACTTGGAAGAGGTTGTGTCAAATCTGGGGGTTGGGGAAAGCAGCGACGGGCCAGGATGGCCCCGGTGGTGGTGGGAGGCTGCGCTCTGCCCCTGCTAAGAGCTGGTGTCCGTCCCCATCCTTGTGCCCAGCTGCCCAGAGTGAAAACCCAACCTGGGTTTTTCAGACTACTGAGCCGGCGAGTGGAAAATGAGAAGCTCTGTAATCCCCACTGACCCACTTCCAGCATTTAGTCGCAGTTATTATAGGGCAGACCCTGTGACTTTTATTTTTGGCTCAGGTTCGTTTCTGCCCTTCGGTGGTTGGCAGCACCGTGCTCTGCCCACGGGGCCGTGCCAGGGCAGGGACCTCGGTGACACTGTCCCGGTGTGTCCCGTGTGCCGGGAGGGGCAGAGGCAGTGCCTGTGGTCACGGGGAGGGAACAAACAGGAGTCCTGGGACACGGCCACAGCAAGCGCGTTACGTTTTCACCAGAGGCTTCTGGCTGGGTTTAGTAGTCATGTGGATGAGCAAGGTGTCCTGGAGGAAGGTTCAGTCCAGCCGTTGCTGGGTATTGAAAGGGGGAGTAGGTAGAAAACAAGCAAGACAAAAAAGAATAGCTTAAGGGAGTTTGATAGCTTAGGAAAAATTAATTTGTTTAACTTAAGAATCAAAAGGATAAATTCATCTGTAGTGAAGTGGCAACAGTGACCTTAATGGAGTGGGATCACGTGGCTTAATGAGCATGCAGAGCCCTTCTTGATGTCTGGGCCTCGCTGCTGAAGCCAAAATTACACAAACACGGCAACAGCTGGTCCCAGTCCCCTTCCTGTCCTGGGCTGTGCCGTCACCGTGCCTGTACTTTGTTGTCACACGTTGTCACATGTTGTACCGGTGTCAGGAGGACATCCCAGTGTGGCCTTCTGCAGGGGCCTAGCAAGGCTGGGCTTAGCCATTGCCTCCTTCCTGATCAGTGCTTGGCTTGTCCTGTCACTGGAGTCTGGGGTTTTGCCATGAGCGTTCTCCCACGTGCCATCTGCTGGGCTCGCCCATAGCTCGGCTGATCCTCGTTTGCTGACCCTTCCCTTTCTTCTCTTCCTGTTTTACACTGCAGGTTGGAGGCTGGCCATGAACACGTCTTGCCCATTGACTATTACTTTCCACCTCAGAAGACTTGCCTGATCTGCGGAGATGAAGCATCTGGGTGCCACTATGGAGCCCTCACTTGTGGCAGCTGCAAAGTCTTCTTCAAACGGGCGGCTGAAGGTAATGCGTGCAGAGAGTGGAGGGGAAACCACTCCCGCCTCCAAGCGTGGGCTTTCTGTCCCCTGACACAAGTTCTCCCATCAGCGGTCAAGTCATTAAGTGCTGGAGGCATCTGCAGCATCATACGTTTCCCTCCTGTTGAGAGAGGTTGAGGGGCCTTGCTGTGGGCAGCCAAGAGTGGTGGGGACTAAAGTCTCTTAAACTAGTACAGGAAAAAATTAAAGGATAAATTGATTTCTTTGCCTTATGTTTGTCATTCAACATTACAGATTGCCCTCAGAAAGCAGCCAAACCAGTTTGCCAAAACACAGTCCTTCTCAATGCCTGATTTTCCTGGTGACCTAGTGAGACCCCGGTGCAGTCAGTTCCTGCTTCTCCTCTTGACTCTCAAGGGTGCTCCAAGGTCCCATGAGCCCTCCTGCGATCTCAGACCCACAACTCCACACTTAGGGGATGCTTTTCCTCTCTTGCATCCCTTTCAGAGGGTCACTTCTCTCAATACCCGCAGAACGGCAGAACCATCTGTCCATCAAGAGCCGTGCTCTGACCTTGGTGTCCATGGTCCTTCTCCCCAACCCCTGAGAAGGCAACTTCTCCGTCGTGTCCAGCTCTGTAGTGCCAGGATCTCCAGAGATAAGTGTGAGCCCAGATGTTCCCTCTCAGCAGCAAGGTCTCGGTACAGCTCTCCGTGGTAATTAGCACGTAGGAGGACCCAGCTCAGCTGCTTCCTTGGGCTGTGGGGCAGCAGCGTCTGGTTTCTCACAGCAGTTAAGAGTCACGATTCCCTGGCAGCAGAGTGAGAGTCAGACAGCCTGACTGTCCAGTAACATAACACCCCTGTAAATCACTCATCTGACTTGTTTTCTGGAGTGATGTACCAGCGCAAACCCTCATTCTTCCTGGGTGCTGACAGGGTTTGTTCAGAGCACTGGCACAACGTCTCCCCCCCTGGGAGAGGGAGCACTGCCGCTCCCAGCCAGCCTCATGTCACCCCTCTGTCGAGCAGAGGTCCCTCACTGTTGGGTGCTCGCCTGCCGTTGTCACAGCACCGCTTCCAGGTTAATGCTAGCGTTATCGGAGTTGTGTTCTCCCTCGTGCATCACGCACCAGGAGTGAACTTGGCAGCGGGGAGGAATCAGGGCTGTGCCTGAGAGGACAGCAGCACCCTGCTGCCGTAATGGGACAGGCAAATAACGTTAGTGATAGTAGGTTTGGCCTGTTTCCCCCAAGTAAATAATTTACAGAGACGTCTCTTTGCTATTCACCAACCCTGTGAAGCCAGATTGGCTCGTGCAGCCAGAGGAAATGGCAGGTGCTGGTTTAAGTCAGCAAGTTACTGTTGATTTCTAGTAAGTGGCGCCTTGGCTCTCTCTGTCAGAGAAAGTGCTGAGGAGGCGCCCCGGGTGATCCCGCAGCGCGGCTCCTCCGCACCGCGGTGGGCCCCATCCTGGGCAGGGGCTGCGAGGGGGCAGCCGGGGCTGGGGCGGTGTTCCCTCTCCTGACTGTGCTGTATCATTGGTTAAAATGGTTTTTATGCCTCTTCTTAGTGTTTAAACCTCGAGGTATCGCAGAGGGTTAAGTGTTTGCTTGCTTAGGGGTGGGCAGCAGCAGCCCTTTGCCTTTGCCCTGGATGAGACCGTGGAACAAGTGTGTCTGCAGTGAGGACCCACCTGGGTGTGAGGTTTCATCTTATGTTACCCTGAGGTACATGGATAGAGTCTTTATTTTGGGGAAGTGGCAATAAATCAGACGCCTTTACAGATACTGAAGACAGGGTGATGATGTAGGTGATGATTTCTATCTGAGCTTTTGGTGATTTTCCAGGCAGACCTTTCCTTCTTAAAGCTGAGGAGCAACATTAAAAGCTGATATTTCAGTGTGTTCTCATATTGTAAAATCCATAGAATGCATCTCTGAAAACCTTCGGTCACCTTTGGAGACTTTTTACAACAGCAGATCAGAAAGCTTCCCTAATGAGGAAAGGACCTTTTTCTTCTGCCCCTGTCACCTTCCTGTTCCTGGTGTAACCCCGCAGGCTCTTGTCGGGCAGGAGAAGCAGTGGCCTGGGAGCTGGAGAGCAGCACAAACAGATCACCTCGGTGGGAATGGAGAGGAGCTGGGTTTTTGTTTATCATACTTTTTTCCTAATATCTTCCTAATATACTTATTTGGCAGTAATTCGGGGATATTTAAGCACATTTTAGAGACATACACTGCCTTCTAAGGGATTAGAAGGGGAAAAGATTTTTTTTTTAAAAGAAAAAAGTTACAACATTGATTCCTTTTCTCTTTTGGAACACGCTGAGGGATTTGTGCAGTTTCCAGTAGAGCAGATCACCTCTGCTTTGATAAAATGTTTGACAGATTTGAGGGTCTTTTGCAAGCTCGGGTCCAACCAGTCCTTCCAGAAAGTTGCTGGAAGAGTTAACAGAGAAGAGATGAATATTTTCCTGATCTCTTTCCGTCAGCTCTCTCAATTTATAGACTGTCTCTAGATGTCCAGGTTATATATAGGCCAGCTCTGAAATGCGCCCTGCGGATTCTCCAGCTCTGATGTGGATGTCCTCACTTGCATGGCCAGGCTCCTTTCTGTAGCCAAACCTGGCGTTTGTCTCTCCCCTCCTGTCACCCCGCTCTGGTGTCCCCGCACTGAGGGATCCAGGGGCTTGGGGCTCGCTGCCCCGGCGAGAAGTGCTGCGGCTCCTCTGCAGCCTGCGCAGGAGGACAACTCCTCCTCTAATTCCTCTTTCCCCTACAGTAACAGAGGTTTGTAGACAAAAAGTACATCCACCTCAGCACAGATTTTGGGTTTTCTTGACACAAGTAGGCAGGGCATCGCTTCGCAGGGTTAGGGTGGCTTGGATGGGTTGAAGACGTCGGGGCTTGGTCTCCTGATACCACACTTGTGCCTGAAACAGAAACTTGCTTTGAACTCGGCAGCTTCCAGATCAGCTGGCAGTCCAGGGGCTCCCGTTGTCACATCTCTTCCAAGGAGGGAGTAATTTTTGTGTCCTCTGCATCCATCCCTGAAAAATGGTAGGGCCTCCTTGTCCCTCCGAGGCTGCGTGCGACCTGATGGCCACCTTGGCCACTTCAGAGCTGCCTCCGCACAGGACTGGGGCGCCCCAGGCTGTGTTCCTGATGGGACTGCCTTTAAATAGCAGAGAGATAAATGAAAAAAATAACATGGTATTTGGTGAATTTCCTAGAGGGCTAACGGCCAGAGTGCTGTGCAGCCTGTTCCAGTTCCCTTCCAGTCACTTTCCATATGGCTCGTTGCTCCGCGCCCAGCCGGCTGGGGTTAGCCTTGCGCCAGAGGAACGTCTCCGGCCCAACTCCACAGTTTCTTGCCAGTTTCCGAGGTGACAAGTTAAAGTGAACCATTTTCAGAGACACCACCGAGGTTTAAAATGCTCTCTTCTTGCCGTGGCTGATCGGACTGTGCAGAAGTGTCGGGTCTCCAGAAGACCCCCGTGGTGCTGCGCCTGCCGGTCTCGGGCGCTGCCTGCCAGGGGGGATCGCTCTGCCCCCGCCTTGGCGCCCACAGACCAGCTCCCCAGCACGGCCGTGCTTCTCGGGGACCCGGTACGTCGGGGGGTGGCAGCTCCCCGTGCTGTGCCACTGACAGGAGAGAACAGGCAGCGAACAGGCAGAGAACAGAACAGGCAGCAAACAGAACAGGCAGACGCCACAGCAGTTGGAGTCTGAGGCAGTTTGACCTCAGACCGGCTCAGGAGCTGAAGCATTGCAGGCTTGTTGCCAGAGAGCTGAGCAATTAGAACATTTTCGCTTGCTGAGTTCAAGCATCTTTAAAATAAAGTCTTTTCGGTTTGCCCAGTCCCGTAGTTGTTCCCTTCAGCCTTGGCTTGCTCCAGGCCCCTCACTAGACTCTGTACGGAGCCGTTACCTGCCTGTGCCGGTACTCTGCCAACATCTGTAACTCCCGTGCTTGTGTTTTTCTGGCTAGCTCATGTTTTCACCTGCACCCACCGTTTCTGGAGAGCTTCCCCCCTGCTCCTCCCGCAGAGCCAGCCCCCGCAGGCTGCTGGTCGCTGCCCTGAGAAGGAAGAACCGGGGCTGGTGCTGAAGCCCGCCCGGTGTCACTGGAATGATGCTTTCCTTTTCTTTAGCCTTCTGGTAAATACAGGGGACTATTAAGAAAAGGACTTTGCAGAGCTCAGTTATTGATAGTGGCTCGATGTTTGTTCCCGAAGGTTCACAGCTGTGCCCTCTTTGGTTATTTGAATGGGGGCGTAAAGCGGGAACTTTGGGGCGGCCCCAGCACCAAGCCCAGCTCTTGCCCCAGCCCAGCTGGTGACAGCGATGGGGACCAGGGTTTTTTACAGGAGAGCGCTAGAGACCCTGTGGTTACCTGAGACCCTGGGGGGTTTGCTTTCTCAGAAAGCTTGGCCTTATCCCCCAGCTGTGAGAATGTAGTTTATGCCCCGAAGTACAGGATGTGTCTCTTCCAAAAGGCATTTAATGGGTTTTCACATTCACAATCGTAAATCTTACTCCAGACGTTGGTGCAGATTGCTTTCTGGAAGAGAAAGCTACTCTAGGCACAGTGACTCATGTGGCAACAGACTTTTGGTTAAATACTTCCCCGGATTGAGCAACTCATCTTTCTCCATAAATCTTTATTTCAAGTTGAGTCGGGGGAGCTGCTCTTCCCCCCTGCTCCTGATGTTCGCCGCAGTCCCAGGCCAGGAGCAGGAGGACTCGGGGATGGCAGAAGCATCTCCCTGCCTGGTGCGAGGCCGGAGGGGAGGGAGCCCAAGCTGGGGGGGCTGTGGGACAGCAGCGTGTTCGTGGTGTGTGCTGGGGGGGTGCTGCCCCAGCTGTGCAGGCTGATCCCGGGGGTTCCTGCTGGGCTGATGTAGGAGGGGGGTGCTGAGTACCCCTGTAACTTCCCTGCTCACCTGCAGGTGTCTGGATCGGCAGGGGGGGAGAGGGCTCTTCTCCAGGGTGCATCTGCCCTGTCACCAGCTGGGGAACTGTGTCTGAGGCTGAGGCCTTGCCAGCGTCCCCGTGTGAAGGCGGCCTGGGCGATGGATGGGCTCTGCAAAGAGCAGGACCGCTGGGTAAAGTGGGAGAGTGTGTTTAAAGTTTAGACCTGTGCTTACAGATTTGCAAAGCAAGAGCCTTTGATCTGGAGTAATATGAGAAAGTATCTCTATTGTTTGCAGTAAAGGAGAAAAAAAATCATTCCAGTGCTCTTCTCAATAAAAGAAAAATCAGTGCATTTATCTTTATTTAAAGAACAGCTGACTGCGAATGTCTCGGCTTGTTCTTAAATGAAAAGAGTAAATTATCCTGAAATTAAAAACAAGTCTCTGTATATGAGGAGTTACTTAAGGCAGATGGAACCCGTGTGTATCCCAGCCACCCCCTACTGCCAGTGGCACCTTCTCCTCCGTAGCGGGACTCGGGTGCCGTGGCCGTGCCGGAGCCGCCCGCTGGGAGGGGAGGCTGGAGCGCGCGGGGGAGCAGCCGGGGGCTGTGGGGGTCCCGGGGGGTTCCCGCGGCCCATGGGGCGAGCGCAGGCGGCTCAGGGCGGGGATGGCATCGCTGGGGCGGTGACACGGGCCCTCTCCCGGGTCATGGGTTCGTTTCACAAAGCGTATCCATGGCCGGGGATAGCAGTGACGGGGCGCTGGGTTTCTCCGGTAATTAAAAGGGGAATCTCTACACCCCTGGAGATTAGGAGGCGATGAGCAAGCGGCTTATTCTCACGCTGAGCAGAAGCAGGCTCATGAATAGCCACTGCATGACCATTTGTTTCCCTTTTTGTTAATGCCTAACAGCTTAAAATAAACAGTGCCCGACTATGCACGCACAGTTAACAGAAAACCTGTTCCTGCCTCAAAGAGTTTATTTTGTGAACCAGGAAGCGGCCCCTCACTATTTCAGCAAAATCCCTGTACCATGACTGTGGGGTGAGTTATTGACTGCAACTTAAAAGCTGTGTTCACCCGAGCCCGTTGGCGGGGAGGTGAAGTTGTCCCAGAGCCTCTTGTCAGGTGCCCGCACTGTGCAGGGTGAGCCGCAGGGCTGGGGGGGTCGCTCCCCGTCCCGTCCCTCCCCAGCAGTGCCGGGGGGAAGCGGCTGCGGTCCAGCCTGGCCGTTTTGAACTCGCGGTAGTTTTGACGGGCTCTGGAGCATCCCAGTGTCTGATGCTGGCGCAGGACAGGAGTCCTGCAGTGCAGCTGGCGGGGAAGGAGAGGAAAATCCCCCTGCAGCTCCCGGCCGATGCCTCGGAAGGTGGGCTGTCCATCCCTGTTTGATGTCCGCACCTAAAGAGCTTGAGTGGAGCGAGGATGGCCTCGGCTCTTGTTTCCCATAGCACAAAAATAACTCCAAGTAACCCAGTTTCTGCTGAAGTTGTTTATTACTCAGCCTCTGCACTGAACTGTTGAAAGGGAGGATGGTGCTTGTGTTCCCTGGGATTTGGTGTAATCGGTGCTTCTTCCGAGGCTCGTCTAAGTGTCCTTAACACTGGTAATGAGCCGGGGAGCGGGGTGAGAAGAGGCGCTGATGGCAGTGGTGTTAAAAGGGTTTAAGAGGCAGGTGCTGCAGGTAATGCGTTCCTGCCCCATTATGTCTCCAGTCTTAACAGCTGAGGCACTGAGGGGTGTGATGACCAGATTTAATGGGGAAGACTCTCAGAAGTTCGAACCTGTGGCAGCAGCTGAGCCCTGGAAGGACTTTTCTGCTGGCAGCTGGTGCCGGGGGAGCGTCACTGGGCTCCCCCCGCCCCAGGGTGCAGAGAGGGGGCTACTGGCTGCAGCTGCGGTGGGGTCTGTGGGAATGGGTTGCTAAAATTTGGTTGCTTTTTCCGATTCCCGTATCTTCAGAAGCTGTGGACATGCGTGTGTGGGAGGTGGGCAGTTGTTAAATCAGTGCACCAAAATCAGCACTTCTCTTGTCAAAACTGGTACGTTAAGCAGTTACATTCAGCCTCATCCTGCTAATGGATCTCCGGTGACTCCAGAGGGCTATTTCTGTAAGAATATAGAAAGCGAACACTTGCAGGATGATAAATAAAGATTAAACTGGGTATAGACTGATTTCCCATGTAGGCCACTTTCACAGAGGCTGAGGTGCACAGCTCTATTATTTCCCAAGACTGTTTTACTTTGGAACAGTATGGAGAACATCAGATAAATCCTGAGCCAATAAACATGTTTAGACTTGACAAGAAAACAAATGAGTCAGGAAGGAAAGTTCATTCTTGGCATGTCTAGCAGAGGAGGCAGTGCAAAGAAGAGCTGAGGTCTGGAGCTCTAAGGGCCGTGCTCCAAACGAGCAGAAAGGTGAGTCTAGGATACTGATTAGCCGACAATAAGTAGCTCCCGGATTTTCTGCAAGCCCCCCTAAAGCTGCTGCTGTGCAGGGTCTCCCTTACAGGGGATCACTGGTCCCAGTTTCCCCCTGGCTGGCTGTGGGAGCAGCCCAGGGGATCAGGGGATGGGTGCCAGAGCCTGTGGGGCAGCAGCTCCTCATGCAGCCAGTTCCCAACCCCGGTGTCTGCGACCTCCAGACAACAAACCCAGTATTAATGGGTGGCACAAAAACCAGCTCAGCCCCCAAAGGCACTGTGAAGAGAGTCGTGGTTGCAGAGGGAAGGCCGCTGGCTGGGCACTGCCTTCAGCAAACGGGGGGTAAGTGCTGTGGCAGGAGGTTCACACTGTGCTTTGAAGGCGTTCTGGGAGAAAACCAGCTCGTCACCGCAAAAAGCCCATCAATAGATGCGTGGCGACTGAAAAACGAGGCCCAAACTGTCCGTATTTCATTACTTTTTAAATGCTGTTTCTGGACTGCCTCTGCTGGGCTGCACACCGCAGAGCGGTTTTGCTCCCTGGGGGTGGTGGTGCAAAAGCCCCGAGGAGCCGTGCTGCCTGCGGCGGGGGGCAGGCAGAGAGCGGCTGCTGGGGGCGAGACCGCACCCGGCTCCGTACAGGGTGTGTTCATCTGGCACGGAACAGCTCCTGGGGCTGTTCCCCAAAAGATGCCAACTTCCAGCAGAAATTTTCCGCTGGGGGTTAACTGGGAAACCAGCACTGAGATGCTGCGTCTCTCCCTCTCCCTCCTCGTCCAGTGGGTACCCACCACCCAGCTGCCGTCTCCTCTGATGTTTGTAGGTAAACAGAAGTACCTCTGCGCCAGCCGGAACGACTGCACCATCGACAAGTTCAGAAGGAAAAACTGCCCGTCCTGCCGCCTGCGGAAGTGCTACGAAGCTGGGATGACTCTGGGAGGTACTGTCCGAATCACCGCGCTGGGCCGGGGCGGCCGGGCTGAGCCTCCGGACAAGGGATGGACTTGGCTAGGAACAGTCAGTAAATGGCTGAAAAAACGAGGCTGATGGAGCGGAGTGAGCTTTGGGAAGCATTTGCGGGTTTCTAATACCAGAACTGTGAATTCCATTAAACTTCTGTTTGTGTTTCAGGAAACATCCTTTTCCTTAATTTAAAACCTAGTTAATCTGAAAAAATGTAAACGAGCGGGGTAAGCTGGATTCTCCCTCACACCGCAGCCTCTTGAACAGGGCACTCCCATTTTAAGATGATTTTTCCCTGGCAGAAAGGGGCGTTTTTCTTTATAAAAATACACCCCCAATATTTTTCTTCACTGAATGGAAGTTGCTCCTGTGTCACCAGTAAAGAGCCTTGTTACAGTTTGTCTCTGTTCCATAACCTGTAGCTCTACCAAAACCTGTTAGCGTGCCCATATCCAAAATCTGAGGTTTTCTGCTCAAAATCTAGAAGCTACGATGTAGATCACTGGGTGGCTCATCTTTGAGTTCACTTGATGCGAGAGTGAGGAAGCAAATACCCTGAAAACCGGGGCTGATGGATGTGACCCAGGATGAAAAGGCCCCTGGTAACGGGGGCCTTCCCTTGCCCACCCTGCCCGTGGCAGCCCGGGGACTGAGGAGCCACGCCAGGTCCCTGATCGCCCGCCAGCAGAAGGCCTTTGCAATGCCTTCCAAAACAAGCGTGCTTTTATTTTTAAGTGCTTTTTTTTTTTTTTTCTGGTGAAATTTACCCAAGTAAGAGAAGACATACATCAGTGTAACCTTCTGCAGGACACACTGACAAAATTAATGCTAATACTGATAGCCCCCCCCCCTTTTTTTTTCTTTCTTAAGCTTTTCGGGTCACTCTGACCTGTTCTGCCTGGTCTGTTTTACATTTGTTTTCAATGTCGGTTTAAAGGCAATTGTTAAAAACATGCATGCTATGAGCTTGTCCACAGTTATTTCTCCCACAGCAGAGAGGCAGAGCATTTGAGAAGGCTCCCAAGCCCCAAAGAGTTGTTTTTATCTGCCTGTTAACTACCAGTGGCTTGTAGGGTATGACAGAGCCCTGGGAGCGCAGACCCGCAGCTCTGGCTGTGTGTAAGGCAGGAGGAGGAGGTGACACCAAATACCTTATTTAGAGCTCTGCTTTGGCACAGGCTGGCGATACGTCGAAGCACTTCATTATTGATTGAGATCACTCTGACCTGCAAGCTGAAATCCATTAAACAGAATCTTCTCTCCCAATCAACACTGTAAAGCCAAAAAGAGGGGAAAAAAAAAAGAGAAAAAAAAGAAAAAGGGATAATGCTGGTCTCGTGTGCTGTGTTCTGCCGGCACACTGTCCTGCCTCTCCCACAGCACCAGTTCTGAGTGGGAGCGCAGGTGCCTGCCCGGATCCTGGAGCCCCCGTGCACGGGCAGCGTGCTGCTGCACACACAGCCACACGCTGTCTCATTCTTCGTGGTAATAACACAGAATTTTTTCACAACATGGATTGGTACCATTTGGTCTGTCAAAAGTTTGGTTGGTTTTGCGATAGAGCCTTGCAAGAGTACGAGAACATTGGTAGGTGGTAAGGTCTGGGAAAACGTTTCTTCTGCTGTAGGCTGGCGCTGTGGAATGGTTTCGCAGGCGTGTTTCACCGTTGTGACGAGTGACAAGGAGAACTGTACGCTCTCTCTAAGGTTTTTGCCGGTGGTCTGTTCAAAGCCCAGCTTTTCACTGGGACGAGTACCCAAACTGCAGCTGGCCCAGTGTGCACCGTTCCCTTCTCCAAAGGTCAGACAGAGGAACTGTGCGCTGTATTTTCAGGGATTAACATGTAGAATCAGAAGAATATTTGTTATCCCTGTGTGCGGGAAGCGTCCCGCTGTGCATGCAGCCGCACGGATCCTGCCGGCCCCCGGCCCCCTCCGTCCTGCTCCCGTCCGGACCCCGCACACGGCTCCGCCAGCAGCTCCTCCTCCCGTCCGTTTGCTGCCTGAGCTGTGGTGTGCGAGGGCCCGCGGGCTGTTCCCGTCGTGACCCGGGCGCCTGGGCCGGAGCTGGCAGGACAGACTGCTCCCTGCGGGGCAAACCCTCCCAGACGTGGGAAGTTCAGTTCATTCCGTTGATGGTAGGGCTAGAAAAGCCCCATAGTGACCACCAATGGCCCGTGAAAGCCCCAGGCAGGAGGCACACCTGCTTTTAGTCCTAGTTCAGGTCCAGTTTCTGCGGTTAAAGCAGAGCTCATGGCGTACTAAGGCGCTGGGTACCGCTGTAAGCGCTTCCAGCAGGGGAGAGTCTAACACATCTTTTGCCACGCAGGTGCGGGAGCTCATTGTGTTCAGTGTTGTGAGAGATGTACCTTATTTTTCATCTTGTCAGTCCGTGATTTCCAGCAACTCGATCTTTATTTACAGCTTTGCTTGCTAGATCGAAACACGTACTTTTATTGAATTTCTCTCCCTGCCGTGGGTATTTGTTGGCTGTGACTCAATAACCCTTTAGCCCTCTGCATGCCCGCCTAGGTGAAATTCCTCACTTCCTCGCTCCGAGGTGTGTTGTCTGGTCTTTACTATTCTTAGAGCCCCTGCCATTTGCTGACACCTCCCTCGTACAGTGAACGATCGCGGTTTCCCAGTGTCAGCAGCAGTGCTTAGAGGTGGCGGTGAGATGCTCTCCAGGTCAGTGTTTTCCTCCGTCGCGTGGCACGGGGTCCTGCCAGTCCTGTGTCCTCTGAGCCGTCCTGTCTGTGTTTGTCCATCGGCTTTGGGTGTGAGGTCAGGCTGCCGAGGATGGAGTCCGACGTTCCTCATCGATGGGTCACTTTCTCAGATGCTTGAGATCACGGAATCACAGAATCACGGGATGGTTTGGGTTGGAAGGGACCTTACAGCCCCTCCAGTGCCACCCCCTGCCCCGGGCAGGGCCACCTTCCACCAGCCCAGGTTGCCCAAAGCCCCGTCCAACCTGGCCTTGAGCCCTTCCAGGGAGGGGGCAGCCACAGCTTCTCTGGGCAGCCTGTCCCAGGGCCTCACCCCCCTCACAGGGAACAATTTCTGCCTTAGATCTGATCTAAATCTGCCCTCTGTCAGTTTAAAACCATCACCCCTCGTCCTATCCCTACACCCCTGATAAAGAGTCCCTCCTCAGCTTTCCTGTAGCCCACATTAAGGACTGGAAGACATTTCTACTTGCAGTGAAATTAGCTTTGTTTTAAGAGACTGAGCTTATCAGCAGAGCTTGATCAGTCTGTTCAGTGATCAGTCCTTAATGTTCGTTACTGTTTTCCCATCTATGCATTGTCATACAGATTTTTTTTTAGTAAAAATGGTTAATTTTCTCTTTGGAATGAATGTAGACATTCACTAGCAAAGGGCCATGATCAAACTCATAAGAAACAAACCTGTCTGATGTTGTTTCAACATTTATCATTACTTTTGAGATGTATTGCCCGGTTGATTTAAAACCATTCAGCCGTACTGTCTGATTTTATATTGTTTTGAGTTTTTCTATTTCACGTAGGCCAGACTGACTCAGATCTCTTAAAGATGTCTGCTGCACCAGTATTATTGTGATTATCAACTAAAATTATCATGCCAGAAAAGATTGATAGTTCGGTAGGGTCTGGTTTTGACAAGCCACATGTTGTTGTTCATAAAAAATTTAAAGAACAGGATATAAGTCAAGTCCTGTTTCAGCTCCTCTGACATTTCGCCTGCGGCTGAAGTCAGCGTGCGGTGCCTGGGGTGGGCAGGATTTATTTCTCTGTCATTGCTAGTGCAAAAGCAGTTTTCTTCCACGTCCCCAGAACTTACCCAAGTCCCAGTGCTGGAGCCCAGAGCGCTGCCCCGGCGGCTCCAGGGGCGCCTGGCGGGACGGAGGGCAGGTTCCGTTGCTTAAAATGTGTGTCAGCTCCGCGATGGCCGTGCCACAGCCCCTCTTTTCCTCTTGCTCTCTTTTATCTTTATTGCTCCGTTCTCCTCCTCCTTTTTCCCAGAGCAGCCATAGCTGCTCGCACAGATCATCCAGCGTCCGTTACTTAAAGATCAGCGTTTTGAACTGATTTACAAAGCTGCACTTTAACTTGGCATTTTTATGATTCACTGCTTAGTTCTCTAATTACAGCTGAAAGGAAATTTGAGATAAGTATCATGTAATGAAAGAGCCAAAACCCCAAGTACAATTGGTTTGATGATATATTCTCTGCTTGAATTAAACATGGGCTTGCTTTCTCTAACTAGGGATTTTTGGAGTTGGTAGAGGGAGGCTGTTCCTGTCTGCGGTAGCCTGCCAGCCTGCGTTGTGCTGAGCACTGTCAGAGAGCAGACTAGGTGAGCGCTGACTCTCCAGGAGCTCCGGAGGCACCGTCTGAAGCTGCTGGTGTCTCTTGCTAGCAGGCCAGCATCTGATTTAGATCCGGGTGCACAGGAGAGACACCTGCTCGTGGTGACACAGGCACAGGCATTGCCTGCCTGCAGTCCCCTCCCACAAGCCCACTCTGCTCTTGAAGCTGCCCACCCTGCTCGAGCCTCCTTGCTGGGGGGCTAGTGGGGAGGCTCCAGGGAACCAGCCGTGGGACCTCCTGCTGGCTTTTAAAATGTGTTTTCCGTAAGACATTTGTAGAGCAGTGAGGGGCTGGGGGCAGCAGGGTGTGGGGCAGCGGGCGTTGCAGGAGTCCCGGGCAGGGAGAAGGCTTTTATCTCATCCCGCTCCGGCTCTGGCCTGGGATGGAACAATCCGACTTGAGTGTCCAACCGGGAACGTGACCATCTACTGAGTTTATCTGCTCGTGTTGCTTCCCTTTGTAACTGCATGTGAGTAGTTGTTTGAATCGTCACCTCCTCTCTCTTTTCCCCAGTTCTTCCTCTCCATTTCTAAGTGGGAGTTAATGTGAGACCGGTCACGGCTGAGGATATGAATGGTGCTTGTTCTTTTCCGTACAAGATTAACGAGCAAATGGGTTTCCTTGTGCAGCGTGTGCTCCCTTTTGTCCTTACGTGAGGTCTGCGGTGCCAGGGCATCTCTGGGCAGTGTGCACTGAAGGAGTAGCTGCTCCTGGTCATCAGTTTTCCTTTCCTCATAAATATAAGTGAAGGAGCTGGAGGCCATAAAACCTCAAGGGTTGGGGTTTTTTTATTTTTATTTTTAAGCATCACACTAAGCTGTGTCATTTCCACAGCCCGCAAGCTGAAGAAGCTGGGTAACCTGAAGACACAGGATGAGGCAGAGGCAGCCAGCTCATGCAGCCCCTCAGAGGAGCAGGCTTCCAAGATGGTGATGACACACATCAACGGGTACGAGTGCCAGCCCATCTTCCTCAACGTCCTGGAGGCCATTGAGCCTGGTGTGGTGTGTGCTGGCCACGACAACAGCCAGCCAGACTCCTTCTCCAACCTGCTGAGCAGCCTGAACGAGCTGGGAGAGAGGCAGCTGGTCTACGTGGTCAAATGGGCAAAGGCCCTGCCAGGTGAGGAGGAAAACGAGCTGACCCTGTCCTTTCCCTGGCCCGTTCCTGAAGCCCCCCCAGCTGGCATCGCCTGGGGCGGGTTCGGAGGAGGCATCTGCAGCCTTGTCCCACCAGCACACCCTTCCCGGGGGGAGCATCCTCCTGGGGCACGGCTCCGTGTGACAGCTCCGTAAAGCAGGCTGCGGGTGCCGGGTTGATGGGAGAGGTGGCCCAGGGGGGACAAAGTACGCAGAAACCTGCGCTTATGGGTCCGTCCCCGTGGGCATGTGTCTGCTCCCCGGCGCGGGAGGGGCCGGTGCTGGGCATGAGCTCAGGGTCTTGCCCTCCCTGCAGGGGTTTTGCTGGGCGGTGTCCGCAGACCTGCAGGAGTCTTCTCTAATCAAGCATTAGCCCCGTCCCGAAACCCGCGTGAAGGGGTGAGAAGGGAATTTCCCCCGGTGAATCGGAAGCCTGTGAGGTGGAAGCAACCGGGCTGAAAGGAGCTGAGGCCTGGGAGATGGGAGAGATCCTTCCTCGCCATCATTGCATTTCACAAGCCAATTAATTTTAGTAAAATAGCAAAGGAGAGATACAAAATCCCCAAGGGCTTCCTCCTGGCAGTCAGGTTGCTATTGTGAGACAGGCTGCTGGAATATATTTATGGTGCATTCAGAGCGGTGCTGTGGGAGTACAGAGGGGTTGGGAGGTTTCCAAGTGGTAATAGTTATCAGGTGCTGTAAATGAGAACATCCTGGTGATAGATGTGTTCCCTGGTTCTGAGCAGAGAGGTTACCAGCCTGTGACACGCTGCCCGGTGTGTGTCGTACTGCTGCCAGTGAGTGAAATTACAGAGGACTGAGATCACTTTGGGTGCAGCAGGATCCAGTTCGCCTTCCAGCATCCCCGGGCCTGGGGCGTGGGGACGACACCGAGCTGCCTTCCTCACCCTGGCCCTGTTCCTTGGGAAAACCCACAGAAAAGAGGGATCCTGCTCGTTATGTGTGGGGTCATGTCACCAAAGGAGGAAACTGAGGCAAAGCAGGTTTGCCAGTGTATGCCAAAACCCGGAGGTGAACAAGTCAGATGTGTGACATTCCCAGGAGCCTGGCAGTGCCCCTGGCAGTAGCTTGTCCAGGAGGGGTGTTCGTCTGAATATGCTCAAATGTAGAGTAGCCCGTTCTGTGTCTTCTGTTCTAGAGTCAGAAAAGGTTCACCCAGCGTGTGAAACCAGGGACAAGCCATGCTTTCTTTTCTGGCTTATCTGCATCAGACATCAAGATTTCTTGAGAAAAGTACATGGAGACACCAGCAAACCGGGCCGGCAGTCCGGGGGCCGAGGTTGTAAAACTGCGGTAGTGCTAATGGAAAGGGAGAGCACTTTGAAAAACATTTTTCATCGTAACCACACCCTTTTCAAAGGCTTTTACTCCCCTTACTGCACGCGGTCGCAGACCCCGTGGTGCGTGGCACGGCGGTGGTGCTGCCTCGCGGGGCTGGCGCCTGCCCTGCCGGCAACGGCTTCTGGGCAAAATTAATTTTAATCTTCTGCCATCTGAGCGGTCACGGCTCTCTGGGCAGCTGCAGGATGACCGCAGCCCCTCCGCGGGGCAGGGGGTCCCTCCGGAGCCCACCTCTCCTGCCTGGGTGTGCTGCGGGGGGTGCTGCCCTCCCCATCCCGCCTGGCCGGACCGTCAGCATCTCTGTGTCCGGGGCGAGAGGCAAAGCCTGTTTGTTTTCCCCAGCTTTCTCCAGCGGTTCCCCGTGTGCCAACGCCGGAGGTCAACAGCAACAACACAAATTTGCCCCTTGGTCATTCTCCTGATCTTTTTTCCAGGGAAAGAACAAGCCACGGCAGGACTGTGGCTGTTGTGGTCCAGGTGCCGCGGCGAGGGGGGCTCTGCCCGCCCTGGTGCTGGTGCTCCCCCAGCAGCTTTTGGGGTGAACATGCACAGCCGGCGGTAGTTCGCTGTCTAACATTTATTTACGTTGTTTTGGTTAACAGAGCAGAAGTGTTTCAGTCCCCGGCTCTGCGGGCTGGCGAGAGGTCGAGGCTGGCGAAGGGGTGCCAGGGGGGAGCAGTGGAAAGGAGCCCCCAGCAGTGTAAGGCACCGGGCTGCAGCTGTTTTTATCGGAACAGAGAGATCTTCCCACGGTCTGCTGGGAGGCTGGAGGCCCTTGCATGAGCGCTGCGCTGGCGAGGGGAGCGGCCGGAGGCGTGAGGGGCCGTGGCTGGGCGGCCGAGGGGAGCAGAGCGCGAGGCCAGCGCCACAGCAGCGTCCCGGCGGGCACGTCGGTGCCCACAGGCAAACCTCGGCCTGCCCCTGCCCCCAGGGCAGCCCGGCAGGCAGCCGATGCCTGCGTGGGCCGCAGGAAGGGTGGAAGCGTGCTCCCTCTCCCCCTTTGCCCGTTAGCGAAGCACATCTGGCACAAGCGTTGGCTGAGCTGAGCACAGGCAGCTCTGTGCCTCAGCTGAGATATATGGCAGTGTAAAGGGGCAAAGGTTTTACCTTCCAGTGAGCGCTGCTGGCGGGAGGAAGGGGAACTCGCACCTGTAATAGAGGTAGCCTCAGCCTGATAACCAATATTAACCTGTGGCCAGCATTAATAAGTGATTATTCACTCTGCATCCTGCGTGGAGCATCACCTGTATCCCAAGAGTGATTAATATGCAGCAAGTGTTGCTGCTTTTCTTCCAGCGAGGCTTCAGTGATACCCCAGAAGCGAGACTGCATCAGGTAGGACGTTTCTGCACCTGCTTGCCTGCAGGAGCAATGTCACCTCTGTCTGGTGGAGGAGATGTAACGTGTGGCCCTTTGGAACCCGTGCAGTTGAGATTCCGCGTAGGAGAGGGTAGAAGCAAACTGTGGTTCGCCTGGAAAGGAAAGATTAAATAACCACAGCTTGCCAAGTAAGCTGCTGAAACACTGAATTAAAAAATCTGATTAAATCCATAAAATCTGTCCACTTCAAGGTAAGTGGAAGGAGTATGTATTTTCCCTTTTCCACATGCATAAATTCAGTGAAAGTGTTGCAGTTAATTTAGATCAGCACTCGAACACATTAGCTTAAAGATCATTTTGTCTGGCAGCAATTGAAAAGTCTCCAGTTTTCCCTGAAGCTGTTGGGAAATCAGACTGTAAAAATAACTGGGCTGCGAAAATACCAGGCTGTGAGAATAAGTGGGTGCAGGGGGAAGGGCTGCCTGGGCGGGGCAGGCGGCGGCTCCGCTGCTGGACGAACCCCCCGAGCGCCTGTCGGTGCACGTGTGTCGGGTGAAACACTCCACCTGGTCTCACGGGAGATGGGCCCGGCTGTTGGAGCTATTGCAAAATCTCTGTGTCCTTGCCAGGCCTCGGCGCCTCACGGGTGTTCCTGGCCCTGGCTTGCTCGCTTTTCTCTTCCAAATATACTCCCTTACTCGCCCTTTAATACAAGCTCACAACTGCTGGTGCGTCTTTTTCCATTCTCTGGGCAGTAACATCTCCAGATACGAGTGTTGGTTTCCAGTGGGGATGTTGCTTTACGGTGACATGCGCGGTGTTCAGGGGCTGATCCCTCAGATGTCATTCTGGCACAGCAGCGCATCAGGAGAGGACACAGAGAGTTTGTTTCCACACTCTGCTGCTTTAAGATTATTCACAAGAAAAAAGTTATGCGTTGTTCTTTTTCAAGTCATCGGTAAATTTAATTTTACTTTTGCTTTCGTTTCTTTCTGTAGGAGGTGTCTTCATTCTTCAGACTATGCCAATACTAAAAATTTAACAATGTATTGTGGCATTAGGTTTGTTTCTATTTTCTTTCACTGTGATGCTGGCCATACATCATCTGGAGCAGGGAGGTTTCCAGGAAGTGATAGGGATCTGCTTTCTGAGAATCAGTGATGTCTCAAGGCGTCTCAGCTCAGAAACGGGAAGCAGTGATTCCTTTTAGAAAAGTCAGCCACCGTGTTTCTAGAAGTTGTTTTTGTGGACGAGCAGAAAGCAAACACTAAGTCCTGTAACAACAAAACTGTTGTGTTCAAATACCTTTCCTTAAGCACTGATAAACCTTGCGCAAATATTTTTTTTTTTAGTGAACGTAATTACAAGGTACCGCACAAGTGCACCAGAACCCTTCCCAGAGCAAGGATTGGGGGCAACAAATGCTTCCAGAAACGCGTGGAAAAGCTGATCCTGGGTGGTGAAGGAAAGGGCAGCCCCGGACGGGACCTCCCGCCAGCGCTGGGTTCTGGGGACGCGGCGGGGCGGGCAGCGGCGGGGGGGCCAGGGGCTTTCTCCTGCGGATGCTGAACCCAGCAAAAGGGGCCTGGGGGAGAGAACAGGCTCGAGGGAGGGCGAACGCTGGCGACCAGGAGGTTCGTGTTCAGCCGGGAGCTCAGAGCCTCCGGTGGAAATCACCGGCCCAGTGGGACGCGGCTCGTGCGCAGGCTTCGGGTTTTTAATGTGGTGATGCGCAAACTGAAGGGAAAACGTACGAACGTAAAGTGAGTTCAGTCGGCGGTAAAACATGGCTTGTGCTCGTTCGCAGTTGACAGCTTCCCAGGCAAGAGGCAGATGCTTGCCTCAGTGGATTATAATTATACACTGGAAGTGTTGGGACTGCTTTAATATTCGATGGAAATAATGTACGATTTTCTTGAAAGCAGATTACATTGGAGTACTTAGCGGTGTCTGGAACGCACGGCGTTGGAGGTGATGTCTGTGCGTGTGGTGTAAATGTGCCCGGGGTTTAGCTGTGAGCCACCATCTGGGAATGCTAATTGGAATGTGATTGATATTTCTGTTTCGCTTGCGATTCAGCAGAGGTTTTCATATTCGCTTTCATGGTTGTTAGATAAATGAACTGTGTACTTGACACAGAAACCGAAGCAGCCTGTTAACCGTGTGATGGGGCCTCGGGGTTACTCGCTGGCTCTGAGCATTGTACATTAAAATCCGTTTACTTAAATTTGGTGAAGTCCCAACAGGTTGAAAAGAAAGGAGGTTTCTCTACTTATTTCCTTGAGTGCCAGAACTGCACCAGAGGAGGCTGTTGGTTAGGGAGGGCTTGTTTCTGCCTCAGTGCCTGGAGAATGGGATCGCGTTGATTGTGCTGCTGCGGGGCTCCCACTCCCCTTCGGCAGATTTATTTCTGTGAGCAGAACAAAGCAAACAAATCCTCCTCGGCTGTTCATTGCCCTCTCTTTTGACATCCTGTCTCACGTGGGGACTGTGAATGTTGTGGAGGGGGGATCTGGGGGTTCTGCCGTGACTGCAGAGCCGGCGGCACGGTAAGACTCACTTGGGGTGTCTAATCAGGGCCAGAAATGACACTAATTAGTGCCGGCCTGGTGCCGGGGAGCTGGGCCTGCTCAGCACCCTGGTGGGGTGCGTTATCCTGCGGGACTCTGGGGAGTCGCTGAAGCCCCTCCTGCTGTATTTTTATGTCCCGTCTGGTGCAGAGTGATGCTTGTTCACCTCAGTGGCTCTTGCTCTTCAAATACCGTTTGTGAAGATCTTCGAGACTCTTAGGGGGAAGGTGTCGCTGATTACTGCTTGCCACTGCCTTCCTTTAAAATACTTGGCTGCCTGTGGCTTTCTTTACCCCCTCCGTGTGGCTGGGGATCCCCTTTCTCCCCTCCCAGATGCAGTTTTGTGCTTCAGCTGTTCCCGACAGCCCATCAGGTGTGAGCACAGCGGCTGCGTCCCGGGACGAGCTGTTGCGAGGCTGCAGATCGCCTTGTCCTAGCAGGGGTGCTCCAGGGGAGCGGGGCTCTGCACAGACTCCCTGGTAGTTGCAGGTTATCAATTTGTGACATCCCTCTCTTGGTTTTCAATAGGATTTCGCAACCTGCATGTGGATGACCAGATGTCAATAATCCAGTATTCTTGGATGGGCCTCATGGTTTTTGCTATGGGCTGGAGATCTTTCACCAACGTCAACTCCAGGATGCTTTACTTCGCTCCAGATTTGGTCTTCAATGAGTAAGTGTGAAATAACAATAATTAATACCGTGCTTTGTCTGGGTCAGACTGTGTGAGAAACGAGAGCAAGACAAGGAATTTGCTTTCCCATCTGCTCAGGAAGTGTCAGGTTTGAGTAATGGTGCTTTCAGAGTAGGAGGGACCTGCTTTTCCCCTCTGGCTGCCCCACAGCGATCTCCGGGAGCAGTAAGAGGAGTTGCAGTGTCTCTCCCGGTCCTTCTTCCCTTTCCCTCAGCCCCCACCAGGGCAGCAGCAGGTGCTGGGGGCGAGGGGCCGGCCCGTGCAGACCTGCCTGTTTTCTGCGGGACCTGCACGCCTGCTTGCAGCTCGGTTGGTCAGCTGGAGCGATCAGAGACAAACGTTTATTGTGAGTTCCTGAAGGGTTCTGTGTGATGTACCCTCAGCTTAGAGTTGGGGAGAGTTTGTTGACACTAAGGTAGAACTTCAAAACAATAACTAAGCACAGCAGCAAGCAAAACCATGCGCCTTCTCCCTGAGAGCCCTGAGCTCAGCTTTGTATCCCTCACGCATAACCGTGTTTGAGAATCACTGCAGTCGTTTTTCAGGCAGGCAGAGGGTCAGACGAGCCCTGCAAACCCCAGGTATCCTCCGTTTCCAAAGAGGGCTGTGCACGGGCGTTTCAGGCTCTTGCTGCCAGCATCCCCTGTGGCAGAGCTGAGGGTCCCGGGATGTGCCGGGTGGGGCAGAGCGTGTCCTGCCCCCCACGTCCCCCTCAGCTCCCCTGTGACACTGAACTCCTCATCTCACCGCCCCAGGTACCGGATGCACAAGTCCCGAATGTACAGCCAGTGTATCAGGATGCGGCATCTCTCGCAGGAGTTCGGGTGGCTTCAGATCACGCCCCAGGAGTTCCTCTGCATGAAGGCTCTACTCTTCTTCAGTATTAGTAAGTGCTCACGTCTTTCCTCAGTAGATCTCCAGCTGCTGTGTGCTGTCTCGCCTTGGGAACTGGGGGGGTTCAGTCTGGAGAAGAGGAGGCTGAGGGGAGACCTCCTGGCCCTCGGCAACTCCCTGCCAGGAGGGGGCAGAGAGGGGGGATGAGTCTCTGGAGCCAAGGCCCCAGCGCCAGGCCCCGAGGGAATGGCCTCAAGCTGCCCAGGGCAGGGTCAGGCTGGCTCTGAGGAAGGATTTCTGTGCAGAAGGGGCTGT